AGGCGATCGAAGGGGGGTCGTGGGTGGTGGATGTGTCGTTGGCGGGGGTGATGAAGTATTTGCGCTCGCTGGGGCAGTATGAGGGGAGGACGGGGTTCGAGGAGGGGCGGGATTATATGTGTCCGGCGGATGTGCCAGAAGATTACCTGGAGACGAGGCAGACGGGGTTTGGGGAGATGACCTTTGTGAAGCATTCTGCGTCGGTGGAGGGGGTTGAGGTGGGGTGGGATGTTATGCCTAAGCCTTTGGGATCGGATGAGAAGAGGTGGTTGTAATCGTGTACCACTGCTAGTGGCTACTACTCCGCTCTACGTCTATAGAGAAGCTATCCATGATACTCATGTTGCTTGGTTCATGGGTCTATAACAGATCTACACGATTGACAGACAGTCAATGAAGATAGATTGAGCGAGCAACAAATTTAAATAACATGCACGTTGGTATATACGAATACAAAGCGGGAACAAAGCCGAGACGATCAAATGACAAGAAGATTCAGCGGTCTGACACCGAGATATGGACATGAGGAGATCAGAAAATGAGTAGGTAAAAAGACATCTGCTACCAAACGACGCCCAACCCCGAGTCCCATGATACCACCGAGCAGTCTGACCAGCAAGCAGCACGGGGTAAACAGTAGGTCTCTGAAACACCGACTATAAAAGAGCATTAAGGTGGGGACATGGGGACATCCCTTGCTTAGGGAACCAAAGACGAGACAGTTGCAACGCAGGGCTAATTGACCGGCGGCTCGCTAACTGACCGGCTGGTATCCCTTGTGTTTCCACTCGCTCTGCTTCCAATCGTTCTGGAAAGTGCTCATCTCGGTGCGTTCATTGGCCCACTTGGCATCCTCGAGTGCGTGTTCGAGACGGCCCTTCTTGCGCTGCGCGATGAAGAAGAAGATGAACCCGCCGAGCATGGCGGCCCCAACGCATCCAGCTCCGATGTATACACCGGCCTTGGCTCCCGTCGGGAGTTCGGTCCACTTCTCGGACAAGGATTTTGGTGGGTTTTGGATGGCATTGGCGATGGTGGAGTTGCCCCTGGTTATCTATTAGTAAGTATTTGTCAAGAGCAGCGGCAAAACTTACGTGATGACATCGATGCTCTGCCAGGATCCAGAGTGATCGGTGTAGCTGTACTCCTTGCCGGTGTGGAAATCATGCACCCGGACGCTCTGGAGGACCATGGTAAAAGGGGCTTTCGAGTAGTCCACCAGACCACCGGCCCATTCGATCGTGCCCTTCGCATTCCCCTCAATACCGGCAGGCCAGATGCCATAGCGAAGGTTGCAAGGAGTCTGCGGGTAATACTGGCCGGCCCCCTGGGAGTCTTCGTACGTCAAGGTCCGGACGAGATTGCCGTCAATCCACCACTCCAGCTTCTCTTTGGTCCAGTGAGTGGTGTAGTTGTGGAATTCGGTGTCGGCATTGGGGACATAGTGGTACCCGCCACGATTGAAGGTCTCATTGTTACCCTTGCCGAAATAGTTGGACTGGACCTGGCTGGTGTTGTAACCCACCCATTCCCAGTCTATCTCATCCAGGTCGTTCGACTGCAGCACGATACTGCTGATAATACCGGCGCCCTTGGCCATCTTGACGTGGGACTCGACAATACCAAAGAAGATGTAAAAGTTTGATTGCATCGTGGGCGATTGGTTCTCTCCTGTGATGGTAAATTGGGTTCCTTCGTCGGTGTGCGACAGGGCTCCATTGGTGATGTTCCAGATGGTATCGTCGAGAGTCTTGTTGAAAGTGAATGTAGTGTTCATACCCAGGGCTTGATCGGGCGGACAGGTCGTCTTCAGAGGGTTGCACGATGTCCATGTCTGGGCGGTCACCGAACAGATGCTGGCCACGAAGAGGGCCACGAGGTAAAGGAACGACATGATGAGGTGGTTGGAGAGGATCTCTCTCTCTATGGAGTAGATCGGTCGGTGATGATCAAAAGTATGTAGATCTCTATGCAAAGTGAAAGGCAGCCAAAACAGGCCCAAATGTATATGCCTCAGCTGAAGCTCGACGAGACTTGGGGGGATTTATGTGGATGTCCGAGGACAGTAAAGAGCGACAGAATCCGGATGAAGGAATGGACGTGCGATCGAGTCGCACGAGGAGTCTTCAGCCCACCCGCAAGTAGTAGAAGAACACTATACGGGGTAGAGCAAAAAGGAAGAGAACGACAGGATCCGGAGGGGAATCTGAGACGAACAGAGGAGAGAAAAGACCGGAGACGGGCATGACCAGAAGACTAGTCAGTTAGTATATTAAAAACGGATGGGACTAATTTTATTAGCATCAGCCACTTTTCTCCTGCCGCAAAGTCCGGCAAATTGGCGAGTCTCATCTGCACTATCATTTCTGCAGACTCAAGACTGCAGCCAGCACTGTAGCTATCTAGTCTAGTGTGGTGCTATGAAAAATAGTACTTAAGCTGGTTTCAGGGGTAAAACATGACTCCAATTGACCAACAGCTGCTCTTGGACAGTGGGGCCGAACGAAGATCTAGTCCGTTTTGAGGCAAGTTACCCTGCGACGCTAGCCTAGTTCGGTAAGTAGCTTTCTTTGTTGTCCGCAGATGGTTCCTGAGCCTTGCCGAATGCGGCATGATCTAATACGCATTGGGGGTTTCTCTCATCTCCTGAGTGATGATTGGCTGATATGCTACTCCTGGAGATAGAGCAGGCTAAACCCTGCCAAGCAGGTGAAAAGTATCAGGAGGAGTGTTTGTTATTAATATTCACCAGGGTAAGGACCTAACTGTATGGTGTTTGTGGTGTACGAGTAGCACTTTAATAATTCTTTCAAAAACACTGGTAATTGCCCAGAATATTAATGATGATGCCTAGAGATTTCTGTCTAGGATAAATTGATTGATCTCATAGTCTGTGGACTGTCCCCATTCCTGGTGATGCGAGTTGAGTCTGTGCCTGGCTCCACGCTCGAGTCATTTTCCTAGAATCCTACCCAAGTTAGATACTTTTTATATGTAGACTGTGTAATGTGACGATGGTGGCTATCACAAATTCAAGGGGTATATTTAGAAGGGATCCATTCTGTCAATAGTTCAGGAGATGTTCAGCATAGATCTCATGTTCCATATGCAATAGGAGTTCTCTTGTTAATAGCCACGGTCCACATAAAGCCTTGACATGAATGCCGTAAAGAACCATGGGCCAATAAATATCAAACAAAGGTCCTGAATATATATTGCATTTTACACAGTATGACAGAGAGTCCAGCCTAGACACTTGTACTACAACACATCGAGTTCATTAATATCAACCCCCCAACTCCAGTCCCAGTATTCCGTATCCATATCAAATCCATATCCGTCTTCTCATCATCTCGTGACAAGATCATGCCTCATTATCATTAGACATACAATCATACCAGATCGCCGCAAACAGATGCCCAATCACCTGTTATACTCCTAATTCAGATATACCTTGGCCGGCCGCCGAACGTCCTCCCGATATCTCCGCGAACGGCTCGGCTTATCGACATATTCCACATATGACGGACTACTCCGGCTTCGACGATGCGTCGAGCGCACCTCCGTCCCTCCACCCCCGCTATATCCATAATCGGGTTCCCCACCTCCCCAAGCTCCAGGCAGTGAACAAACCCGGAAGAGCCAGATAAGCAGAAGGGTGCCGACGATGGAACCGATGACAATACCTGCAATGCCACCGCCTGAGATGCTATTGGGACAATTGCAGCTGTCGGATGAGGAGGTGGATTGCCGGGCTTGGAGGATGTTGGACAGAACAGGTGCCTATGTGAGGGTCAGCGAGGCTGTATCCATGGTTCCGTAACTCGGGCCGTAGCGGAGTGATCCAGAGATTGGGGAGGAGGCAAACAACTCACCATGTTGGGAAATGTTGATATTTGATATCAAATATCAAATATGGTGGCGAGAATGATCCACTCGAAGATTTTCCTCTATAAGCGTTGGGACGGCGCCGTATAGTCTAGATGCCGAGGCCGAGGATCTTGAATCGAGTGAGCTGAGATTGGCTCCCAACTCAAAGAAACGAGAGACAGACACCTCAAGGAGTGGAGGAGTCGAATGAACCGCGGAATGAGACGAATATAAGATGGGATGGGATGGATGACACTCCATCGTTCAAATATCCGACTGTCCCGCGCTGACGTCAATCGCACGTCTTCCTGGATAAGCGGGAAAAAGAAGCGATCACCATCTTCCATGTACCTTTTAGCCCGCACCGGATCTTGAAACTGGGAAATCCTCCGGCTACGGCTACCAATGAGCGTGTGTATTCGCCGATTTGGCTTGGAATTGGCGCAGAAGACTGGCTCTCTGTCTTTCCGTCTCTCACATGGAGGGGCTCTCGGCTGTCCTGTCGATTCTGCTATCACTCGCAGTCGGAGGGAAAATATCGTCAAATGGTCTGTTGTGTCTGTTGTGCAGTGCATTAAACTACTGCTAGAGCCTTCCGCCTTGATCGCGTACCTGCTTTGATCTTTGAATTCCCTCTCTCCAATGCCGAGACTGGACTTTCGATGCATGTGATGACTCTACTCTCCTCGAAGGATCGGACACTAAATTCATCCACAGCGCCAGTGACGCAATCCATCACACAATACGATCTAGCGACAGACTTAACAGGGCTGTCTTTGCTTTCATTGTCTAATCAAGCAGATAACCCCTCTGCTGCGGTGTATTCCCTTCTGCGATTGAGATCCACGATTATGATTGGACAATTGTGACCACATCTAGAAGCGAACATACGAAGCCCTGCGAGAGAAGGCTTCGCTGACACTGAACCCCCATTGATCCTAACCATCTGCTTCGTTAAAAGAATGGCAGCAGAGCAGATTTAAGACTAAAGAAGCTGTTACATCAAACACTTATGAGTGGTGGTCTAATGACAGGTAAAGAAGGTGGACCGTCCTGGCTCTATCAAAGGTCAGGCGAGGTCATGTCAGCCAGCCCTAAGGAGCAGCTCGTACACGCAATTGCACGGCAGCTTACAACTGGACATGTCCCGGCGACGGTGGCACACTACCCGTCTCCCAGTCCTTCATCTCAGCCCCTAGTTCAAACTCAATGATCCCGCCCTGTACCATGAGATCGTCGTGCTCGAACCAGTTCTTTGTCCACTCTTTCCCATTGATCTTGACGCTTTGCACATAATAGCCCTGGTTTAATCCCGTCGCTTTAATCCTCAGCGTCTGGTTCCCGTTGACTGTCATGTTCAGGTCAGGGAACCAGGGCGACGAGATCAGGTAGACCGGTTGGGTGACCACTGGGTAGATGCCAAGCATCTGCCACACAAGCCAGGAGTTCATGGCGCCTGCATCACTGTTTCCGGGCACTCCGTAGGCAGCGTCCTTGAAGCTGCAAGCAATAAGGTTAGCTGCTGCCGAGTGGATTGAAATAATCCCGATCCGCTTACTATTGCAGTCCCAGGCTACGGGACATTTGGACGCTCTTCGCTTGTTTGTTGATATAGTTGTAGAGATACGGTGTTGCAAAATCGGGCTCATTCCTGCCTGATGTCAGCAGTTTTCTATGGTTGATCAACAATAGCACATACCCGATATTCATCAGAGTCGTTATGCCCGCGCCGTTTGCACCAAGATTCTGAACTGACAGATTGGGTTTGAACTACACAACATCAGCACACCCCTCAAGCAATCTATTGAAACCGTGCCTACCATAGTGTCTAGCCGGGCTTCAAAAGTGTCTGGTCCGCCCATGAAGTCGATCAAAGTCTCCATGTCATGCGGAATCACGAAGGAGTACTCTGAGCCATGATCAGTACGGACCTCGGGACAGGATACTGCAGTTGCACTTACCCCATGGTACACCTTCATAACTATACGAATGCCACTCGCACTCGTAGCAATACATTGGGTCATATCCGCTATTGTTGAATGTGCCGTTCGAAAACTTCGGGACTAAAAATCCAGTGAAGTTCAAGCTCTCCACCTCTGGATTCCAAAGCTGTTGCCATCCCGCCGACCTATTCAGATACTTTTCCCGATCACCGGGCATCTCCCCGCTGGCCACCTGGCTCAAGGCAAAGTCATTCAAACTGTACTCGACAGTCCGCGAGATGCAGCGTGTGTTCCGATCCTGAGAGACATAGCCCAGCTCAAGCCAGTCTCCCAAAGCCCCTCGGCCCTCCTTGGTGCTCGCAGATAGATCCTTAGGATCAAAGGTATTGTACGGAATAACTTCAGCGTCCGTCTTCATCGCTGCGTACCCGTCTGTCCAGTTAATTGCGCCACGCAATCCTTTGACGTACGCATCGGCAAGGACATTGTCAGCGTTAGAGCCGCCTTGTACCAGTCCGTTATAGTTGCCTGAGCGCCCGTCGGGTAGGAAGCCTTGATGTCTGTACTCATGGTTAACTCAGAAACACAGTCTCTTCAAGGCGGTCTTACCTCCATATGTCAATGAGACCTCGGATCATGGATTCATAATAGGTAGGCTGGAAGATATGATAGAAGCTCACAGTGCAGCGGAAGATGTCCCCTGGAACAAGTCAGTACATAATCATCAGGGAGCGGAGCTTCCATGGGTACTGACACATCGTATAAAAGTCATCCCATAACGGCTCCTCCGACTGCCAGAGCGGATTCTCCCCAGTCCGGTCAGAGGGCATCAGATGCATAAAATACAGGGAGCTGTAGAGCAGCCGCACGTGGGTCATGTTCGCAGTATTGTCGAGTGGCACCTGGATCTTGCCGAGGACCTCCTTATTCCATTGCTCAACGGAGTCTTTGACGGTGTCACTGAGTCTCCACGAGGGGATCTCGGACCTGATATACGACCGAGCCCTTTCGGACGATATCAGGGAGATACCAATTCGTGAGGTGATCTCCGGTTTTGCCTTCTCGTCCCAGCTAAAAAGAGCGCCAACACGCTCATTCATGGGCCCCGATGTTGCCTTATCCGATACGTTACCGTATATTGGCTCTCCTATATCACCAACGAAAGTCTGATATCGTGCTATCGGCTCTGTATTTACTCCAGTGAAGGTCCGAGCCATTGTAGGCTTTTCGGAGAATTCTCCGTAAAAATAGACCGTGAAGGGAGCTCCATTGTTCCATCCGCCCATGTACGTCCCATATCCGCTGTAAGCCCTACCGTGGTCTTCGACTTTGATCTCTCCGCCAACATAGTACTGGCCATTCGTGGCTCCAGGCTTAGCGGGCAGATAATGAGAGACATCCACAAGCACATGCTTCTCGCCTCGAGGAAACGAGTAGTGAACAATACCGGCGTGACTGGACGCAGAAAGCTCTATCTGAACGCCGTTCTGCAGCTGGGTCTTGTAATAGCCTACACTGGCCGTATCCTGACCGAGTCGGGGCTGACTGTACGTGAGATTATCCAGAATATTAACTGGCGGCGACACACTGGTCAGAGGCATCTGCGGAATGAGCCCATATTTCGGAGAACCTCCTGTCCCGCTTTCATGCATCATAGCTACACATGTCAGTAAAGAATGACCACCGGATTTTCAAGCGAATCACATACTGATCGCTGTCACATTGCCATCAGGCGTCCATCCACCGTTCAGCACCGCAATGCTCCAGTTTGCGGCCGTCGTGTCTATTCCCATTTTGACCATTCCAAAGGGTCGCGCACCTCCCACGAAGATGTCGCCTCCTCCGTAGCCTTTGCCCGGAAACGGGCCTTCTGACCCCATCAGAGCATTTACATACTGGGTGTAATCGACAGAAGACGACGCAGAAGCCGTCGCTGCCAAAGCCAAAAGACAGTGGAACGGTTGACTGAGAAGAAGTCGCATGATTTGAGAAAATTTCCAATTGCACTATGTCGTAGACCTATTCTATGAGAATTCCCTTGCCAACGACACAAGATCCATTCTACCAACGTTCAGAAAAGTCAAAGGAGAGAGCTTCCATATATAGCCCTGGGCGCCGCATATCCTTCGGTGAAACAGGAATGTGAATCGAACGCATATCATTCTGAACCAGGAGTCCCAGAGGGGGGTGACCGAGAATAACGCCGCATCAATTGGGAACCAAGCATCTGTCTTTCATCATCAACCTGCGGGGTAAGGCATGATCAACCAAACCATATCCCAAAATCGACAATATGAGGCTGAAGTTGGTTGTTCTCCCGAATATACTCCGGTAGACGGGGTAGAGTATACCGGGCGGAAAAACTATACGTTTCTGGACAGTTCCTCCGACCGACCGCCGCACAGCAGAAACAGACATCCCAAAAAACCCACCAAAAAAAGAACATCCCGCTATAGCGATCACGATAAACCCGCCTTCATTGCCGCCGTCTTGTGCCAGCTGACCCTCCTCATCTCCTCCTCCCCATATCTACACACGACGACTCAACAAAATGGGTGTCACTTTTGACAAGTGTGATACGCGGCCGGCGCATATCGACGCCATCCTCAACGGCCTGGACAGATACAACCCCGAGACCACCACAGTATTCCAAGACTATGTTGCCCAGCAATGCGAAGAGCGCACATTCGACTGCTACGCCAACCTGGCTCTGCTGAAGCTGTGAGTTCCATCTTCTTGTTGTTACCAAACACCGCGCTTGCCCTGGATTCCTCATCGCGGGGGGGTGTTCAGATCGCATGGGACGAATGATGAACAACCTTGTTTTTCTTCATAATCACGTTTCCTATTACCTGACATCCCCCTGGGATGAATGTCGAGAAAAAGCAACATGTTCTGAAGAGACAAGTCCCATCAGCTAGCTTTATTGCCCTGACTTAGTCCATATACTTCCGATACTGACAAGATGTCAACAGCTACCAATTCAACCCTCACCTCCTCCAGCCCGAAACCGTCACCAACATCCTCGCCAAGGCTCTCACCGTCTTCCCCTCGCCCGCCTTCTCCCTCTGCCTTGCCCTCCTCCCCGCCCACACCCAGCCCTTCCCCACCGCCGACACCGACGCCTCCCAGACCTCCGACTTCGTTGAATCCATCCAGAAGCTTGCCCGCCTGTCCACCCTCCTCGAGTCCGCCCAGTACGCCCAGTTCTGGTCCACCCTGAACTCCGATGACCTGTACGCGGACCTGGTCGCCGACGTCGCCGGCTTCGAGGAGCTCGTGCGCATCCGTATCGCCATCGAGGTCGGCAAGGCCTTCCGGGAGATCAACGCCGAGGTGCTGGAGCAGTGGCTCGACCTGCGCAGCCGCGAGGCCCTCGAGAAGTTCGTCACCGAGGTCTGCAGCTGGGAGGTGGACAAGTCTGGTCCCAACGGCACTGTTGTCAAGGTGCCCACGAACAAGGAGAACGAGGCGCGCAGCGAGGTCAAGAGCGAGCGCGTGGGTGTGGATATGTTCGGCCGTGTGATCAGACGGGGTTTTGAGCAGGCCGCGTGAGATGGGATATGACGTCTTCAAAATGGGGATTTTTCTTAATTCTCTTCCTTGCTCTCTTTTTCTCATCCTATTCTAGAGATCTGGTTGTTGCATGGATCTCTTCTACTTGCGCTAAGACAACCCAATGATGATGAAGGTAGAACCAGCATGGGAGGTTCCGGAATGTCTTGGGACCCGGCGCATTTGGCGTTCTGAGATTCGGACTCTGTGTGTAAAAAGAAACAAAGTATCTTGATTCATAGATCCATAACCAGCTGGAAATAGCCTTTTCTAAACAAAAAGGAAAGAAAAAAATTCTATATATAAATGATCTAGGCCTTGACCAGAAGACTTTTACCGGACATCTCCTCGGGCTGTTCGATACCCATGGCGGCGAGGACGGTGGGTGCAACGTCTCCGAGGACGCCCTCCTCCTTCTTGAGGCTCCAGCCCTCGGGGGCGTTGGCAAGGACGAAGGGAACCTTGTTGGTTGTGTGGGAGGTCTTGGGAGTGCCCTTCTCGTTGAGCATCTCCTCCGCGTTACTGGGAAACGGATGTACGTTAGCCTGGAAAAGAAAGTCAAAAGGTGGAAAAACGACCGCAACCTACCCGTGATCGGCGGTGATGAACAGAACGTATCCGTGCTTCTTGCAAGCCTCGTAGATTTCACCAATGGCCTTGTCGGTGGCGGCGACACCCTTGATGGCGGCCTCGTACACACCGGTGTGACCGACCATGTCGGGAGGAGCGAAGTTGTTCATGATGAACTCGAATTTACCCTCGGCGATGCGCTCGGCCATCTTCTTGCCGACGGCTTCGGCGCTCATCTCGGGCTCATGGTCATAGGTAGGAACCTTGGGCGACGGGATCATATCGCGCACCTCGCCAGGGAACTGCTTCTCGATACCTCCGTTGAAGAAGAAAGTGACGTGCGCGTACTTTTCGGTCTCAGCGACATGGCACTGCTGGATGTCCTTCTTGCTGAGCCACTCGGCCAGCACGTTGCCCATGTGCTGAGGGGGGAAGGCAACGGGGAAGGTGTAGTCGGTCTTGTACTGGGTCATGGTGGTGATGTGGATGTTCTTGGGATAAGGGAAGTCGGGCTTGGGAGAGCGGTCATAGTCGCCCAGCAACTGGGTGATCTCACGGACACGGTCCGAACGGTAGTTGAAGAAGAAGAGGGTATCGTCGTCTGCAAGGCACGGTTAGTTTCCGAACGAGCTGGTCTCCAATTCCCATAGAAACATACCCTGCACGCGCCTTTCCTTGCCGCCAACGATGATGGGCTTGAGGAACTCATCGTTCTCACCCTTCTCATAGCGCTCCTTGATAGTCTTGACAGGATCAGAGCTCTCTTCGCCCTCACCGCAGACAATACCCTTCATAGCCACTTCGACTCTGTCCCAACGCTTGTCGCGGTCCATAGCGTAGTAGCGGCCAACCACCGTGGCGATCTCACCGATGCCGACCTCCTTGGTGTGATCGAGCAAGTCCTGCATGTACTTGGTAGCGCTCTTGGGGTCGGTATCACGGCCGTCACCGAAAAAGTGAATGAAGACCTGAGGGATCTCCATCTCCTTGGCGACCTTCAACAGACCAACCAGGTGAGTGATGTTCGAGTGAACACCGCCATCAGAGACCAGACCCAGCAGGTGCAGACGACCATTGCCCTCCTTGGCGCGAGTAAAGGACTTGACAATGTTGTCGACCTTCTTCAATTCACCCTTCTTGAGGGTCTGATCAATGCGAACGCTGTCCTGCCAGACGACACGGCCAGCACCGATGTTCAGATGGCCAACCTCACTGTTGCCCATCAAACCTTCTGGCAGACCGACGGCCAGCGACGAGGCATCCAGCTCGGTATATCCTTGAGCCGTCTTTGAGTTCTCTTCGGCAAAGCCGGACATGTAGGGTGTCTCCGCGGCAGCGATCGCATCTCCGTCCTTGGGAGAGTCGGGGCCTGGGATACCCCAGCCGTCGATGACGACTATTCAACATTAGCGACCGACGAAGTAGCACACTATCGTAGAGAGCTTACTCAGAACGACTTTTTGGTCAACCTTGGTCATTGTGAACCTAGTCGGAGAGTTAGTTAATTGACTGAATTTAAACGACCAATTTTGATGGGATGGAAATGAGTGAGGATAATTCGATGTAACTCACAGAAATGAAGCAATAATTTGACGTTAGGAGAATTGACTGGATGGAAGAAAGAGGGAAAAAGAGAGGGACAAAAGAATTGGCTGGCCGGTGAAAAACAATTGCTGTCGCTATCAGGATGATAATTACTACTATGGAGGGGGAGGGGCTGCGCTTCTTCCCGGTGACGCTTTTGGACTTTTCCTTCTCTTTCTCCGACGTCACGCTTCTCCCTTAGTTGACCTTCTTTCCCCGTGCGTTCTCGTCGGCCTTGGACTCGTTCCGACTCTTCCCTATAATTCCATTAATAATATTACCCATTCGGCACAGGGATTATCATATTGATAACCGAAACGTTTCCAAGTTGTATACCAGATTCCTTAGCCTGGATCTTGCGCAATGGCGTCCAGGTCACCGACCGCGGCCACTCCGCTGCGGAAACCGTCATCTGCGCCCGAGACGCCTATGGTAGGGGAGCCCATGAACACAGCACCACAACCAGTTCCTTTCCCTCCGCCGCAGACATTCGACATAATTCCTCCGTTGCATGGCCTTCTTCTGCGTCTTCTTTCGGCACAAACAGCTGGTGAGGGCAGTTCAAGAACAGCTGGTGAAGCAGGCGCAGAAGCGCCATCAGGGTCGTCGGGTCCGGGCCAAGGTGCTCAGCAACAGACTTCGGCAACGGGGAGTGGACTTGCGCCATTGACTGCGAAAAATTTGCCGACAGAGGCAAGCTCGATCAAGATTCGCATACAAAAGGCACACGCGGTTGTTGAAAGCCTACCTGACATCGGTCGCTCGGTCGCTGAGCAGGAGAAGGAGATTGAGGAGCTCGAGAATCGTATCGCCAGGTTGAACGCGGTCATTTCTGATTTTGGGAAAAGGGCAGACACAGGAGCTTGATGGCTGGTTCAACAGCATGAAGCGAAACGGGTCTTGCAATAAACTTGTCGCCTTGCAAGGAGCGATTCCCATTGGGCTTGATCTGCCGCGGGCAGACTTCGAAGTACAATTGGCTGTTGGTCTCGTTATGCCCGCTCGACAGATAGTACATGGAGACTTGACTTCGGTCAGAAGTCCACTGAGACAATATACAAGCTCTCCACGGTGTCGTCCCATGAACTGCTGGGTCAACCTTGGCTCAAAGCCGTTGCTACAGATATGTTTCTTCGGCACTTTTTGATCCCTCTCATGGCTGGCTCTGAGGGTAGCACCTCACTTCACGACGGAAAATATTAATAAACCACCAAGACAAAAGTCTTGCATTGGTCCTTGACAATTGATCGCTCTAGGACTATGGATTTGGCCC